AACCCTGAACCCTAAACCCTTGAGGTGTATGGGGTCCAGCCTGCAAACCTCCATGCTACAGCAGAGTAGATATTGAAGCCCCGATCCGGCTCTTTCAGTTACTTTCCCTGGGGACCAAGTGACCCTTACAAGTACCCTTATACTATGAATCCCTATATGGTTTTTGAACCTCGACCCTAAACCCTAAGCCCTGAAACCCTTTTAGGGTTCATGTCCTCCTTAAGGTTTCGGGACTTCAAGGTCACTTTATAAATGGGACCATGGACCCCGAAGGTGGGGTCTTCAGGCTGTGAGCCATTGTCACGTTAAACCTTAATATAGGGGCCTGAGGTTTAGGGTTTAGTTACATATATTATTTTTTGGTGGATTCCTTATTCTATTTATAGTTTAACGGGCTCCCAAACCCTATTCTAATTACAAAGGCCCCTGCATTAAACCTCTTGAGCCTTGTGATGTGAGCCCGAAGACCGTATCTCCGAACGGTGTTGGGTTTGGGGTTTATAGGTTTAGGGTTTAGGGTTCCATGCCCACCGACCAGCACCCGGAACCCGCCCAACGGTTTAGCGTTTGATTTGCGGTCTGGAGGTTTGGGCGGCTAGCATCCAGTGCAGGAGGTAGGGTTTCGAGGTTTGCAGCTGCAGGATTTAGAGGCCTCAGAAATTGGCGCAGTGATCGCTGTGCCGCTATGCGTCTCTAGCGTGTTGACCTGAAACCTTCTCGACGTATTTACTGCGTATTTGATTCAGACAACAGCAAGCGTCGAGCATTGAAAACTCGGACTCGACCGAGGGAGCAGGCCGCGGTTCCGCACACCGTTGTGCCCACGGCAGCTTTTCCTCGGCAGGTGCCCCCGCCACCGCCACCGGCGAATCTTGGCACGGCGTAGTATTTAGAATCTGCTGTATCCGTTTATCTTCGCAGTCTTTGCGCATTTTCGGTGCAACCGCGCCAAGCGTCTCATCAAGGTCTGCATGCAAGACCTCCCGTTGACAATTCTCCGCCCTTGCGTTTCAGCATTTTGAGCTCATGTGCGAAGACTTCAAGCAGACGCAGGGACCCCTGCTGGGGTCGCCGCCGGAGGGAAGATATTGCTCGAAGTGGTCGCTGTGTAATTATTGAATGGGTTAGGAAAGTATACCCCACACCCTGTATCAGGCACTGGTCGAACCCCACAAATTTGCGTACTTGGTGAAACGCTGGCAGGAAAGCTGCGCAAGCCCAGAGTGCACTGATCTGCGCCTAGGTCAACGTCTACTTGTCCGCTGCGGGCTACTTGGGCGATCGCTTCCAGGACTTTCCTGAACCCTAAACTCTAAACCCTATAAACCCCAAACCCTAAACCCTAAACCCCTTCAGCCTGACATCTTCCAGGACAAGTACTTTTTTGTCTGGCGGGGCCCTCAGGAAACGAGAGTTCCAGGGTCTGGAGCTGGTGCTCCCTAGTTCATATACAAGCCCCATAAGCAACAACACAATTACATCTATAAGGGTTTATAGGGTTTACGGTATACGTCTTATACCCTAAACCCTAAACCGTAATGAATTTAATAAACTTGTGTTGTTGTTTTTGGGGTTTGGTACTGATCTTTTGGGTATCATGGGTTTTGGTGGTTGTGGTAGTAGGAGTACCAATAAGTGAAACTGAGGTTTTCGGCTCCTTTACCGTATACTTATAACAATAGGAGCCCTACGGAATCATGCTGGTAATCATTCGGGTCCCTATATTAGACCCTATGTAACCCCCCAGGTACCTACTATATAAGATTGTAGAGTTTTTTTAGGGCCCTATATAGTAGGTACCTGGGGCCTTGCGCGCCCACTCTCGCAAGTAACTGGCAGGGCCCGCAGATCCGTCATACACTGTTTAGACAGCCCATAGTCAACCCTGTGAAATCCATAAAACACGAACATGGACTATAGGTGTTAGGTACAAAAAACGATTTGGGTCATATAGTGTTTGTGACTGAGGTGAGGGGTGCTGTGCAGTCTGGGTGCGCTAGAGACCTCTAGGAAAGACACAAGCCTCAGGTGAAAACACGCGTGTTGTTTCTTGTGATTTCGGTCGTTCCGATGTTCCCAGTCCCATCGTTTTCCCAAAATGCGTGTCTTACTTTCTGACTTGTTCTAGCTAGGTTTCATACTTGTTTTGTTCATATAGTATGTCCATGTTACTTTGATGTTTTCCCGGAGCTCTCAAAATTCCTGATTCCGGCTGCTTGCCGTCCAAAGTCCGCTGGGCGGGGGCCCGTCCGGTGCCCTCTCGCAGCTGGCCGAAATCAGGAATTTTGCAGGCTAGGGAGAATACACAAAAGATATGAGACAAGACACGTGTCTTGTA